GGTTCGATTACCCTGAGAGATGTTGACTACCTCGCCTGGTACACAGGAGGTCGTGGGTTCGATTACCCTGAGAGATGTTGACTACCTCGCCTGGTACACAGAGGTCGTGGGTTCGATTACCCTGAGAGATGTTAACTACCTCGCCTGGTACACAGGAGGTCGTGGATTCGATTACCTTGAGAGATGTTGACTACCTCGCGTGGTACGCAGGAGGTCGTGGGTTCGATTACCCTGAGAGATGTTGACTACCTCGCCTGGTACGCAGGAGGTCGTGGGTTCGATTACCCTGAGAGATGTTGACTACCTCGCTTGGTACACAGGAGGTCGTGGATTCGATTACCCTGAGAGATGTTGACTACCTCGCCTAGTACGCAGGAGGTCGTGGGTTCTATTACCCTGAGAGATGTTGACTACCTCGCCTGGTACACAGGAGGTCGTGGGTTCGATTACCCTGAGAGATGTTGACTACCTCGCCTGGTACACAGGAGGTCGTGGGTTCGATTACCCTGAGAGATGTTGACTACCTCGCCTGGTCTACAGGAGGTCGTGGGTTCGATCCCGACCCTGACGATGCCTGCTGCTGCTGTAGATGTGGAGTCTGCGTGTCTCTCTCTCTCTCTCATCATCGTCACTGTGGCTGTGAGATGTTGACTACCTCGCCTGGTATACAGTCTCTCTCTCTCTCCCCGTGGTCTCGGCGAGAGAAAATCAACAACATCGCCCGTCCAAGGGAGCATTTTGTCTTATCCCCCGTTACATTTAAACGCGACTACGATGCTGCTGATGATGATGATGGTGGTTATGATGATGATGCTGCTGCTGCTGCTGATGATGACGCTGCTGACGATGATGCTGCTGACGATGATGCGGATGATGATAATGATGCTGCTGATGATGCTGCTGATGATGATCATGCTGCTGACGATGATGCTGCTGCTGATGATGCGGATGATGCTGCTGATGATGATGATGCTGCTCATGATGGTGGTTATGATGATGATGATGCTGCTGATGATGCTGCTGATGATCCTACTGATGACGATGCTGATGATGATGCTGACGATGATGATGCTGCTGATGATGATGCTGATGATGATAATGATGCTGCTGATGATGATGCTGCTGATGATGCTGCTGACGATGATGATGCTGCTGATGCTGATGATGCTGCTGACGATGATGATGCTGCTGCTGCTGATGATGATGATGATGATGCTGCTGCTGATGATGATGATGCTGCTGCTGCTGATGATGCTGCTGCTGATGATGCTGCTGCTGATGATCATGCTGATGATGATGCTGCTGCTGATGATGATGCTGTTGATGCTGCTGATGATGCTCCTGCTGCTGCTGCTGATGATGCCGCTGATGATGATGCTGTTGCTGATGATGCTGCTGATGATGATGCTGATGATGATGTCCCAAAGTCCTCGCCGCTTCTCACAAAGGGGTAGCCTCACGAGGCTGAGAGCCGAATGGGCCTTCGTGGCCCTGGTTACAAAAAACTTATTTAACAAAAAAGAAATAACAACAACATTTTGGTTTGTGAATTTTTTAGTTGAAAATAACGGAGCACTTTCCGCTAACAGCCCCGCTCGAGGCTACCCGGGTGAGCTTTGTCTCTCGTGTGTGTGTGTGTGTGAGAGAGTGACAGGGTGAGAGAGACGCAGAGAGAGAGAGAGGAGTTCGTGAACTTTGCGTGGTGGCTGTGTAAGTAATTATATATATTTATATTTGGTTTAAAAAATTGTAAAAACACCCACCCCCCCCCCAAAAAAAAATGAATGTAGTGGAACAAAACAATCACGATATAGGCAAACGTTTGTGGGTGTGGTGAGATCGAGACGGTATGAAGGGTGCCTTGACTTGACTCTCAGCCGAGAGAGAGAGAGTGTGAGAGTGTGGGAGAGAGTGTGAGGGTGAGAGTGTGAGAGTGTGAGAGAGAGTGAGAGAGAGTGTGAGAGTGTGGGAGAGTGTGAGAGAGTGAGAGTGTGGGAGAGAGAGTGTGAGAGAGAGTGTGAGAGTGTGAGAGAGAGTGTGAGAGTGTGAGAGTGTGGGAGAGAGTGTGAGGGTGAGAGTGTGAGAGTGTGAGAGAGAGTGAGAGAGAGTGTGAGAGTGTGGGAGAGTGTGAGAGAGAGTGAGAGTGTGAGAGTGTGAGAGTGTGAGAGAGAGTGTGAGAGTGAGAGAGTGTGAGAGTGTGGGAGTGTGAGGGTGAGAGTGTGAGAGTGTGGGAGAGTGTGAGAGAGAGTGAGAGTGTGAGAGTGTGAGAGAGAGTGTGAGAGTGAGAGAGTGTGAGAGTGTGGGAGTGTGAGGGTGAGAGTGTGAGAGTGTGAGAGAGAGTGAGAGAGTGTGAGAGTGTGGGAGAGTGTGAGAGAGAGTGAGAGTGTGAGAGTGTGAGAGTGTGAGAGAGAGTGTGAGAGTGAGAGAGTGTGAGAGTGTGGGAGTGTGAGGGTGAGAGTGTGAGAGTGTGAGAGAGAGTGAGAGAGTGTGAGAGTGTGAGAGAGAGTGAGAGAGTGTGAGAGTGTGGGAGAGTGTGAGAGAGAGTGAGAGTGTGAGAGTGTGAGAGTGTGGGAGTGTGAGGGTGAGAGTGTGAGAGTGTGAGAGAGAGTGAGAGAGAGTGAGAGTGTGGGAGAGTGTGAGAGAGAGTGTGAGAGTGTGAGAGTGAGAGAGTGTGAGAGAGAGTGAGAGTGTGAGAGTGTGAGAGTGTGAGAGTGTGAAAGAGAGTGTGAGAGTGAGAGAGTGAGAGAGTGTGTGAGTGAGAGAGTGAGAGAGTGTGAGAGTGTGAGAGTGTGAGAGAGAGTGTGAGAGTGAGAGAGTGAGAGTGAGAGAGTGTGAGAGAGTGTGAGAGAGTGAGAGTGTGAGAGAGTGAGAGAGTGAGAGTGTGAGAGAGTGTGAGAGTGAGAGAGTGAGAGAGTGAGAGAGTGTGAGAGTGTGAGAGTGTGAGCGTGAGAGAGTGAGAGAGTGTGAGAGTGTGAGAGTGAGAGAGTGAGAGAGTGTGAGAGTGTGAGAGTGTGAGAGTGTGAGAGAGAGTGAGAGTGTGAGAGTGTGAGAGTGTGAGAGAGAGTGTGAGAGAGAGTGTGAGAGAGAGTGTGAGAGAGAGTGAGAGTGTGAGAGAGAGTGAGAGAGAGTGAGAGTGTGAGAGTGTGAGAGTGTGAGAGAGAGTGAGAGAGAGTGAGAGTGTGAGAGTGTGAGAGAGAGTGTGAGAGTGAGAGAGTGAGAGAGTGTGAGAGTGTGAGAGTGTGAGAGTGTGAGAGTGTGAGAGTGTGAGAGAGAGTGTGAGAGTGAGAGAGTGAGAGAGTGTGGGAGTGTGAGGGTGAGAGTGTGAGAGTGTGAGAGAGAGTGAGAGAGAGTGAGAGTGTGAGAGTGTGAGAGAGAGTGTGAGAGTGAGAGAGTGAGAGAGTGTGAGAGTGTGAGAGTGTGAGAGTGTGAGAGTGTGAGAGTGTGAGAGAGTGTGAGAGTGTGAGAGAGAGAGTGAGAGTGTGAGAGAGAGTGAGAGAGAGTGAGAGTGTGAGAGTGTGTGAGAGAGTGTGAGAGTGAGAGAGTGTGAGAGTGTGAGAGAGAGTGTGAGAGTGTGAGAGAGAGTGAGAGAGTGAGAGTGTGAGAGTGTGAGAGAGAGTGAGAGAGTGAGAGAGAGTGTGAGAGTGAGTGAGAGTGTGAGAGTGTGAGAGTGTGAGAGTGTGAGAGTGTGAGAGAGAGTGAGGGTGAGAGAGTGAGAGAGAGTGAGAGTGTGAGAGTGAGAGTGTGAGAGTGTGAGAGTGTGAGAGAGAGTGAGGGTGAGAGAGTGAGAGAGAGTGTGAGAGAGAGTGAGAGAGAGTGTGAGAGTGTGAGAGAGTGTGAGAGTGAGTGAGAGTGTGAGAGTGTGAGAGTGTGAGAGTGTGAGAGAGAGTGAGGGTGAGAGAGTGAGAGAGAGTGAGAGTGAGAGAGTGAGAGTGTGAGAGAGAGTGAGAGTGTGAGAGAGAGTGAGAGAGAGTGTGGGAGTGTGAGAGTGTGAGAGAGAGTGAGAGAGAGTGTGAGAGTGTGAGAGTGTGAGAGTGTGAGAGTGAGAGAGTGTGAGAGTGAGAGAGTGTGAGAGTGTGAGAGTGAGAGAGAGTGAGAGAGTGTGAGAGTGTGAGAGTGTGAGAGTGTGAGAGTGTGAGAGTGAGAGAGTGTGAGAGTGTGAGAGTGTGAGAGTGTGAGAGTGTGAGAGAGTGTGAGAGAGTGAGAGTGAGAGAGAGTGAGAGAGTGTGAGAGTGTGAGAGAGTGTGAGTGTGAGAGAGTGTGAGAGTGTGAGAGAGTGAGAGAGTGTGAGAGTGTGGGAGTGTGAGGGTGAGAGTGTGAGAGAGAGTGAGAGAGAGTGAGAGAGTGTGAGAGAGTGTGAGAGTGTGAGAGAGTGAGTGTGAGAGTGTGAGAGTGTGAGAGTGAGAGTGTGAGAGAGAGTGAGAGAGAGTGAGAGAGAGTGAGAGTGTGAGAGTGTGAGAGTGTGAGAGAGTGTGGGAGTGTGAGAGTGTGAGTGTGAGAGTGAGAGAGTGTGAGAGAGTGAGTGTGAGAGTGTGGGAGTGTGAGGGTGAGAGTGTGAGAGAGAGTGAGAGAGAGTGAGAGAGTGTGAGAGTGTGGGAGAGTGTGAGAGAGTGTGAGAGTGTGAGAGAGTGTGGGAGTGTGAGAGTGTGAGTGTGAGAGTGAGAGAGTGTGAGAGAGTGAGAGAGTGTGAGTGTGAGAGAGTGTGAGAGAGTGAACTCTCTCTCCACCAATCCCCCCCCCCCCCCACTCTTCCCCCCACTCCCTCCACTCCCCCCACTCTCCCCAACTCCCCCCCCCCCCCCACACTCCCCCCCCCACTCTCCCCCCCCCCACTCCCCCCTCTCTCTCTACCCCCCACTCTCTCTCCCCACACCCCCCCCACTCCCCCCTGTCTCTCCCCCCCACTCTCACCCCCCACTCTCCCCCCCCACTCCCCCCTCTCTCTCTCCCCACACCCCCCACTCCCCCCCTCTCTCCCCCCACCTCTCACCCCCCACTCCCCCCTCTCTCTCTCTCGACCAACAACCACCCCCACGCTCCACTCTCCCCCACAGCGCGCGCTCTTCTGCATTCGCTGCGCTCGCCTCGTGGAGGTCCCCGCCTCGAACCGTCGTCCAGCGTGAGTGCCCTGGAGTGGAGAGGCACTTTGACCACCTCGTGGGGTGAGGGGCGTGGCTAGGGGAGCGGTGGCGCAGTGATTAGCGCACCGATTGCTGCGCTTACGAGAGCGACCCACCGAACCGGGATCGATTTCCACCGGCGACGTTTCGGGCGCAGAGGCTACCCGGCGGCACGTGAGCAGCTCACTGTGTGTGTGTGTCACTGTGTGTATGTGTGTGTGTCACTGTGTGTGTGTGTGTGCCACTGTGTGTGTGTGTGTCACTGTGTGTGTCTGTGTGAGTGTCTGTGTGTCACTGTGTGTGTGTCACTGTGTGTGTGTGTGTCACTGTGTGTGTGTCTGTGTGAGTGTCTGTGTGTGTCTGTGTGAGTGTCTGTGTGTGTCTGTGTGTGTCTGTGTGTGTGTCACTGTGTGTCTGTGTCACTGTGTGTCTGTGTGAGTGTCTGTGTGTCACTGTGTGTGTGTCACTGTGTGTGTGTGTCACTGTGTGTGTGTCTGTGTGAGTGTCTGTGTGTGTCTGTGTGTGTCTGTGTGTGTGTCACTGTGTGTCTGTGTCACTGTGTGTCTGTGTGAGTGTCTGTGTGTCACTGTGTGTGTGTCACTGTGTGTGTGTCACTGTGTGTGTGTCTGTGTGAGTGTGTCTGTGTGTGTCTGTGTGTGTGTCACTGTGTGTGTCACTGTGTGAGTGTCTGTGTGTGTCTGTGTGTGTGTGTCACTGTGTGTCTGTGTCACTGTGTGTGCGTCACTGTGTGTGTCTGTGTGAGTGTCTGTGTGTGTCACTGTGTGTGTGTCACTGTGTGTGTGTGTCTGTGTGAGTGTGTCTGTGTGTGTTTGTGTGTGTGTCACTGTGTGTGTGTGTCTGTGTGAGTGTGTCTGTGTGTGTTTGTGTGTGTGTCACTGTGTGTGTCACTGTGTGTGTGTGTCTGTGTGTGTCACCGTGTGTTTGTCACTGTGTGTGTCACTGTGCGTGTGTCTGTGTGAGTGTGTCTGTGTGTGTGTCTGTGTGTTTGTGTCACTGTGTGTGTCTGGCTGTGTGTGTGTGTCATTATGTAGCGGTTAGCGCTACGCTGCGCTATGAACCTGGAGACCCGGGTTCGATTCCCGCTCACGGCCAACACCAGTGACGATGATCTGAACCGGTCCCTGGGCCTCCCGTAGGTCGACTCAGCCTCAAATGAGTACCTGGTGCGGTGTGTAAACATTGCCACTAGGGAGACAAAGGCGGTCGGGCGTGGTGCTGGCCACCCACCCCCTCGTGTACCGTTCCAGCCTTCATAGGTGCTCGCTAACAGCACTTGTCCCTACAGTATAACACTATACAGGGGATCTTTGTCTTTATCTTTGTGTGTCACTGTGTGTGTGTCACTGTCTGTTATTGTGTGTGTCATTGTGTGTGTGTCACTGTGTGAGTGCCTGTGTGTGTGACTGTGTGGTGTTGGTGGTGTTGTTGTTGGTGGTGGTGGTGTTGGTGGTGGTGTTGTTGGTGGTGTTGTTGGTGGTGTTGGTGGTGTTGTTGTTGGTGGTGGTGTTGTTGGTGGTGTTGGTGGTGTTGTTGTTGTTGGTGGTGGTGGTGGTGTTGGTGGTGTTGTTGGTGTTGTTGTTGGTGGTGGTGTTGTTGGTGTTGTTGGTGTTGGTGTTGTTGGTGTTGTTGGTGTTGTTGTTGGTGGTGTTGGTGGTGTTGGTGGTGGTGGTGTTGTTGGTGGCGGTGTTGTTGGTGGTGTTGTTGGTGGTGGTGTTGTTGGTGGTGTTGGTGGTGGTGTTGGTGGTGGTGTTGTTGTTGGTGGTGGTGTTGTTGTTGGTGGTGTTGTTGGTGGTGGTGTTGGTGGTGGTAGTGTTGTTGTTGGTGGTGGTGTTGTTGGTGGTGGTGTTGTTGGTGGTGTTGTTGGTGGTGGTGGTAGTGTTGTTGGTGGTGGTGGTGTTGTTGGTGGTGGTGTTGTTGGTGGTGGTGTTGTTGGTGGTAGTGTTGTTGGTGGTGTTGGTGGTGTTGGTGGTGGTGTTGTTGTTGGTGTTGTTGGTGGTGGTATTGTTGTTGGTGTTGTTGGTGTTGTTGGTGTTGGTGTTGTTGGTGGTGTTGGTGGTGTTGTTGGTGTTGTTGGTGGTGGTGGTGTTGGTGGTGTTGTTGGTGGTGTGTTGTTGGTGTTGTTGTTGGTGGTGTTGTTGGTGTTGTTGGTGTTGTTGGTGGTGGTGTTGGTGGTGGTGTTGTTGGTGGTGTTGTTGGTGTTGTTGTTGGTGGTGGTGGTGGTAGTGTTGTTGGTGTTGGTGGTGGTGTTGTTGGTGGTGTTGTTGATGTTGTTGCTGGTGGTGGTGGTAGTGTTGTTGGTGTTGTTGGTGTTGGTGTTGTTGGTGTTGGTGGTGTTGTTGGTGGTGGTGTTGTTGGTGGTGGTGTTGTTGGTGGTGTTGTTGGTGGTGTTGTTGTTGGTGGTGTTGGTGGTGTTGTTGGTGGTGTTGTTGGTGTTGTTGTTGGTGGTGGTGGTGATGGTGGTGGTAGTGTTGTTGGTGGTGGTGTTGTTGGTGGTGGTGTTGTTGGTGTTGGTGGTGTTGGTGGTGTTGTTGTTGGTGTTGTTGTTGGTGTTGTTGTTGTTGGTGGTGTTGGTGGTGTTGTTGTTGTTGGTGTTGTTGTTGTTGTTGGTGGTGTTGTTGTTGGTGTTGGTGGTGTTGGTGGATCTTTTGTACTTTTCTGCCGTCAACAATGAAACATTCGAGCGGACGACTGGCCCGACGATCTAAGAAAGTGGGTCACTCCTTGCGGGGCCGCCATCCTTGCGATGGTGTGAGGAGCTCACGGATTCACATTGAACGATCTGGCCAACACCGTTCCCATCATCATCATCACGATCATCGGTGAGCTCATCCTGCAAGTGAGGACGGCTGAGTCGGCTGGGTCACGTGGCCCGCATTGCCCGGCCAACGCGTGGCCCAGCAAGACGCTTCTGTTGAGCAGCAGAGAGAGAGGGTGTGGTGGTGGTGGTTGTGGTGGTTGTGGGTCTAAACTCGCGTGGCACGGGCTGGAGAAGAGATGGAGCTGATTGGGTGAGTGAGTCGGTGGGTGAGTGGGTGACTGATTGGGTGAGTGGGTGACACGGGCTAGAGAAGAGATTGAGCTGATGGGTGAGTGAGTGGCACGGGCTGGAGAAGAGATGGAGCTGATTGGGTGAGTGAGTCGGTGGGTGGGTGGGTGACTGATTGGGTGAGTGGGTGGCACGTGCTGGAGAAGAGATGGAGCTGATGGGTGAGTGGGTGGGTGAGTGGGTGGCACGGGCTAGAGAAGAGATGGAGCTGATGGGTGAGTGGGTGTCACGGGCTGGAGAAGAGATGGAGCTGATGGGTGAGTGAGTGTCACGGGCTGGAGAAGAGATGGAGCTGATGGGTGAGTGAGTGACACGGGCTGGAGAAGAGATGGAGCTGATTGGGTGAGTGGGTGGGTGGGTGAGTGGGTGACTGACTGGGTGAGTTGGTGGCACGGGCTGGAGAAGAGATTGAGCTGATTGGTGAGTGTGTGTCACGGGCTGGAGAAGAGCTGGAGCTGATGGGTGAGTGAGTCGGTGGGTGAGTGGGTGACTGATTGGGTGAGTGGGTGACACGGGCTAGAGAAGAGATTGAGCTGATGGGTGAGCGAGTGGCACGGGCTGGAGAAGAGATGGAGCTGATTGGGTGAGTGAGTCGGTGGGTGGGTGACTGATTGGGTGAGTGGGTGGCACGTGCTGGAGAAGAGATGGAGCTGATGGGTGAGTGAGTGGAACGGGCTGGAGAAGAGACGGAGCTCATTGGGTGAGTGAGTCGGTGGGTGGGTGGGTGACTGATTGGGTGAGTGGGTGGCACGTGCTGGAGAAGAGATGGAGCTGATGGGTGAGTGAGTGGTACGTGCTGGAGAAGAGATGGAGCTGATGGGTGAGTGGGTGGGTGAGTGGGTGGCACGGGCTGGAGAAGAGATGGAGCTGTTGGGTGAGTGGTTGAGTGGGTGACACGGGCTAGAGAAGAGATGGAGCTGGTGGATGAGTGGGTGGCACGGGCTAGAGAAGAGATGGAGCTGATTGGTGAGTGGGTGGGTGGGTGGGTGAGAGAGTGAGTGGGTGGTTGGGCGATTGAGTGGGTGGTTGAGGGGGTGAGTGGGTGGGTGGGTGAGTGTGTGGGTGAGTGGTCGGGTGGGTGAGTGGGTAGGTGTGTAGGTGGATGAGTGATAAGTGGGTTAGTGAGTGGGTGTGTCTGTGAATGCAGTTGGTTCAAGGTGTAAATCTGTAACATCAATTTGAGTCCGTGTTGGTTGTGTTCACACACGTGCCGCCTGACAGATACCCACATACTCACACAGAGACCCACAGACGCACACACAGAGACCCACAGACTCACACAGAGACCCACAGACTCAAACAGAGACCCACAGACTCACATACAGTGAGGGAAAAAAGTATTTGATCCTCTGATGATTTTGTACGTTTGCCCACTGACAAAGAAATGATCAGTCTATAATTTTAATGGTAGGTTTATTTGAATAGTGAGAGACAGAATAACAACAACAAAATCCAGAAAAACGCATGTTAAAAATATTATAAATTGATTTGCATTTTATTGATGGAAATAAGTATTTGACCCCTCTGCAAAACGTAACTTAGTACTTGGTGGCAAAACCCTTGTTGGCAATCACAGAGGTCAGACGTTTCTTGTAGTTGGCCACCAGGTTTTGCACACATCTCAGGAGGGATTTTGTCCCACTCTTCTTTGCAGATCTTCTCCAAGTCATTAAGGTTTCAAGGCTGACGTTTGGCAACTCGAACCTTCAGCTCCCTCCACAGATTTTCTATGGGATTAAGGTCTGGAGACTGGCTAGGCCACTCCAGGACCTTAATGTGCTTCTTCTTGAGCCACTCCTTTGTTGCCTTGGCCGTGTGTTTTGGGTCATTGTCATGCTGGAATACCCATCCACGACCCATTTTCAATGCCCTGGCTGAGGGAAGGAGGTTCTCACCCAAGATTTGACGGTACATGGCCCCGTCCATCGTCCATTTGATGCGGTGAAGTTGTCCTGTCCCCTTAGCAGAAAAACACCCCCAAAGCATAATGTTTCCACCTCCATGTTTGACGGTGGGGATGGTGTTCTTGGGGTCATAGGCAGCATTCCTCCTCCAAACACGGCGAGTTGAGTTGATGCCAAAGAGCTCCATTTTGGTCTCATCTGAC